TATATGGGTAGATGATATTATTATAGCATCCAATTCAACACCCTCACTAAAACAAGTGAAAGATGATTTAAGTTGTAAGTTTAAGATGAAAGATCTTGGAATACTTTCATGGTTCTTAGGTATTAATTTTACCTTTACTGGCAACACTGTAACTATGGATCAGATTAGGTACATCGAGAGAATTTTAATTAGGTTCAAAATGGAAGGATGCAAACCAAGGGTGACTCCAAGCGAACTTGGAGTCAATAAGGCAAGTGCTGGGAATTCAGACGAACCCGCTGATCTCAAGTTGTATCAGGAAATTGTTGGGAGCCTAATCTATGTGATGACATCAACTAGACCCGACCTTTCCTTTATTGTGACAAAGTTATCTCAGCATATGTCAAATCCTTCCAATGTCCATCTTTGTATGGCAAAGCATGTGCTTCGTTATCTAAAAGGTACTATAGATAATAAGCTCACTTTTAAAAAGTCTAAGGAGGGATTGAGTATGCACGGGTACTGTGATGCTGATTGGGGATCATCGGAAGACAGGAAAAGTATTACAGGTTATATTTTTAAACTATCAAAAGATGGACCAGCCATCTCATGGAAAAGTAGGAAACAGCCAACGGTAGCGCTATCAACCTGTGAGGCTGAATATATGGCGCTAGCAGCTGCAGTTCAGGAAGCTAAGTTTCTTAGGCAATTACTAGGGGAGTTCCTTAGCATCTTTATTCTCGAACCAACCATAATCCATTGTGATAACCAAAGTGCCATTTTCCTTGCCAAAAACCCTGCGCAAAACCAGAGGTCCAAACACATAGACATAAGATATCACTTTATTAGGACAGAAATCCAGTCAAGAACTGTCGATGTAAAGTACGTACCATCTGAAGAGAACTTGTCCGATCTCTTCACCAAGCCAGTCACAAGGCTCAAAGTAGGTAAGTTTATAGGACATCTTGTAGGTTGATAAATTGTTCAGTTAAACAATTAGTGATATTTATCCTTTTAAAATATATCCCAAAATATCTTAAAATTAAGTTATGTTGCGTTGCATTGAACAATGAACAATTTAACAAAAACAACAACACATATTCATGTAAACATAGAAACTTTATTGTTGTAATTAGAATTATCAGTTTAAGTGGGAGTGTAAAACTATAAACTAATATATTCTAAATGTATGTAATTAATGTCACGTGTCATGTCCATGTATTGAACTCAATAAAAGATACTCTGTAATGGCGATCCTAGAGAGAAATGTGCTTTGACTCAATCCCAATTTAATCTAAAGGAATCTCCGTCTGAAAGTTTATATGGCGTCCTCAACAGTTGGTAATTAAGTATGACACATTTAAATTAAATCGCACAGTGTGTCTGGGCTACCTATGGTTATCCATGGTATATATGTATACTGTGATTAAGATATCGCCATTAGTATATGTGGGGAATGTAAAGCTGCAAAATACTCGTATAATCGTTGTCCTAGCTATATATATGCGCAAGTAACTTATTCAGTATTAAAAATTAAGTGTAATACACATTTTCAAAACATCAGCAAAAACATTCATTAATTTATCCACAGGACCAGTATTGTGGGCAAATGTTTCGTGAAAAACAAGAGACATATTAATAAGTACACATATTTAACTGTGGTAACCAGTGGAGACATTGGAGCAATTTAGGAATACATATATTATAACTATTTTTTTTCATAATTACTGCATGTATAAGATTTGTATCAAACCCTCTCAAATATAAAAAAATATCACGATACCTAATGGTGAAATTTAAAGAATTCGAAAATCTGGGCTGCAGTGAATGATGCAATATATTTTGTGATCAAGAGCTGGAAATTTCAAGGTGCAGATTGTCGTTTTACGTGTATAATCATGACATATTTAAAAAATATATAGTTCACACAAAAATATAAACAATAACAAGAAACATTTCAATATGATTTGTTTTTTATTTACATGTTTGTCCTACTATTTAAGACAATAGTTACATTATTATTAGCTTTGGTAGTTCTCTTGAACGTGAGTCATTAGCTATAAAGCCTGTTGCCTGTGAAATTAATCAACGTTGGGAGCTTCAGCCTTGCAATCATCGTAGTGCCCATATATCTTGCAAGATATTTTCATCCACAAGCACAGCCTATATAAGAACGAATTTATTGGTTTGTATTTATTGATAATGATAATGATAATGCATAGAACCTGCATTGTCTGGAAAGAAATCTTCCGAGCATTTTTAATGAGGCTGTCTATTAAAAATGCTGTGGCCAGTTTAAACGCTACAGCATTCACACCCAAATTAGATGATAAATTAAGGAATCTAGTAGCAAATTAAAGAATAAAGAAAACATGCAGCTTTTATTATAAAAGAAGGACATTCAATTCATTGTATATACATGCAAGTATATAGTAAATGACTATACTGTGGGTGCATGCCTGAAAATAAATTGCAGTTAACAATTCATTTTATAATATAGCATTTGTAAATTCTGAACGCTGATTGGCTAAGAGCCGTGTTGACATAACTCAATGTCAACACGGAAACGTCGGAAAATTTCTTTCTTTATGTTTCTTTGTGCTATTAGTCTAGGACCTGTATAGATGTTTGTATGCATTTCATTTAGCACAGATAATCTCAACTGTTTTAGGGTAAAATGACCATGGCGGTCAACATGGCATATGTGCCAAAACCTGAATCCGGGGCGAAAGTCCTGAAAATGACCCCGCCCTGAAACGGCAGTGCCGACATAGCTCTAACTTCCGAAAAGCAAAAGCCTTTCTGAAGTGCTTATAGTGTTTAGAAGGGTTGCTTTTAGGGGTGGTCATTGGAAGGAAAAATTTGTCTGAGTATAATATTTTGCCAGAAAATGACTATGCACCACCTCAGGTAAATTGCTGATTATGCACAAAATAACTAATATGCCTGGCAGAAATTTAATGTTCTTATTTCCTAAAAAAAATTATCATGGGATGAAAAACTATGCTTAATTTAATATAATTATTGTAATTTTCATAAGGATTGTCATTGTTTTCTTTAAATATAATACATTTTAATTCACTCACCCCCCCCCCACGAAAACACCATTTCAGCCATACTTTGCCGTCTTGTCTGCTTTTTATCGGCGCGCCAAGTCTCGCAGGTGTCATCCAGTTGTTGTACTTTTACATCATGATAGATGGCTAAAGACGATTTCGACAAAGTTTAATGAAGTTTTGAAACAGTGCAGTATATTTTATCTTCGATATTGTGTCCTTCGATATTTCGTCAAATTGCCGCCATGTTAATGGCTCGCCACTTCTCTGCCCGATAAATTCCACTTCTTCGTCTTCCTATGTGTTTAGACTACAATATCCAAGAGTACTTCATTGTAGAATAGTCCCAATCGAAAAAATGAAAACATTTGTTGGGTTTTGATGCCAATACCCTCCAGGTAACCATTTACGTTCAAAATAAAATACAAAGCATTTGAAAGTCACGCGCAATCTTCGCGAAAACTTCTTGTGGACACATGACAGGGGGGTGAATATTTTCACGGAACGTTTGTTCGCCACTACAGCAACCTATTAAAATAT